TCTAAATGTTATTTTTCTTTTACAAAATTTTCTATAACAACATTTTTGCTTTTCTAATGCTCTTAGAATTATATTCTGACAGGAAATGTTGATTTTTTTTTATTGATAAATAACATTTCCTCTTTCATTAATTGTAATCTTAATCAAATAATCATAAATTAAAATATATTTTTTCGTATTTCGTTGTTTTTTTTTTTATAAAATTCTACATCTAAATAAATCATACCTCAAGTGTAGTTGGTGATCGAAAAAATCCAATATTTTTTGGTAAATTATTTCTTGTAACACGATAAACATCAAATGTATAATTTGTTCTTTGACCTGTTCTATTTGAAAATTGTACATTACCAGTTAAACCATAAAAATTTGTATTTAATAAATTTTCTAAATAAACTTTTCCTGGTGACCATGGTTCAATAAAATTACTTCGACAATCAATACCCGGTGTTAAACCATTATAAAATTTTCCTTGTCGAAATACTTTTAATTTATCACGTGTTTCATTTGATGAACTTAACATACGATTTATTGTACGTAATAATGTTTCCCATGCATCAGCAATTAATAATGATTCAATTGATGGAATATTTTTTATATGAACATTTTTAATTGAATCAATATAATTATTATATAGTAATAATGTTTGATTATCATTAAAATGATCATATGGTGGTATAGCAAAAAATGTTACATTAACACCACCATAACGAAAATAATTCATATCAAGTTGTTTAGCATTTAATGTAAGTAATATATAATGATAATCAGCTGTTGTCATACCACGATGTTTTATTTTATCCATTATTATTTTATATGTATCAAATGAATGAAAATCTAAAACAATATAACGACCTTGAATTTTTTGACTTGTATTTGTTGATGATAATGAATTTATTTGTGAATTAGTCATAAATTCAATATTTTGTAATAAATCATATGAATCATCTGGATTTCCTAAATATCGACCCATAATATTTAAACTTTGTATTGTATTTTTTGTTGTCGTTTCTATTAATTGTTTAAGACGTCGAGCACCATTTGTATCATCATATAAATAAACAAGATACTTTATTTGATAACGACGAATAACTGATATTAATGCTGGTAAAACATCAGGCATTAATGATATATAATAATTTGCTTTTTTATAATGATGATTATCTAAACCAATAAATGGAACTTGATATGTTGAACAAAAACTTGCTAACCAATCAAAATCATTATTATCAACATGACCAATTATTGACATAATACCATTTGACAATTGATTACATAATAATGACCATGTATCAATATTAGAACTATCAAAATCAATTCTATCCATACGTTCAATAACATCATATTGAAAACGTCGTTCAATTTTATTAAAAACATATTTACGAGCTAATGGACTTATTCGAGTATATATATCTCGATTATTTCCATTAAACATTAAACCTAAATAAAGTAATATTTTATTTTCATATTTAATATTATAAATAAATTATCAAAATTTATGAAAAAATTCTTTTTTTAATTTATATATATATTGATTAATAAAATTTAGAATAATTCAAAGTATTTACTTTTAAATATATTTATGATTTCAAAATTTTCATACAAAAAAAAAGAAAAATCAATCTTACCAACAGGTATATTTAAAGTAGTTTGTACAATTGATATATATACAAAAACAATAATTAATAAATAAATGATCGAATCTTTCTTCATATTAGTTGATAAGGAAAAAAAACAAAATAGTAATCAATGTACGTTTACACTTTTATAATAGTTTAGCTGTTAATATATTGACAAGAATAAGAAATATGATTGCTGTATGTTTTCATTCCACTCGATTAGTAATCATCGGATGAGAATAGTTTTTTTTTTTTCAATGTCGGCATGACGCGACAAGGGGATTGAATCTTAGTTTCCGTTCTTTTTTCGTGAACTAAATGCATCATAATAACCAATAATAATGCAAGAAGAGAGAAATTTTGTTGATACTATTACGAATCTTATTGTTACTATTGCGTTCTACACGCAACATTTTTTCTTTTTCTGTTTAATCCATTATCATTCTACTAGTACTCTCATTTCTTTTATGTGCGTTCATCCACTTTACTGATTGATTATCGAAGAGACAATATTTTGTTTTTTCGTCACGATGAAAAACACAAGAGGATAGAACACAAGTACGAGTCATTTCTTTATTGTATTCTCTTAGCAAAAGAGCAATTTTCTTCTTGACATGCTATGATGTATGAATCAATGACATTGAATCAATATGACACAAGATCAAAATTAAATTTCTTTTCTTTTTTTTCTTCGTATGAAAAGAAGAAAAAAAGCACAATGAGATTCTTCAATACTCTTTACATAATAATATATAATCATTTGAACATTATACCAATAGCTATTGTCGATGTATTTTATTAGGATTTATTGATTTTTTTTTTCTTTTGTTAATATAGTTGTGTAATTGAATACGAGAATATTTTTCAAGTGGTACCATCAAAAATTCTGCTATTTAGACTATGCATCATCTATAGAAAAGATATATTTTATTAGCTCAAGTAGCATATACAGTATTATAAATCGAAGAATTTCGATGTCTTTTAAATCAAATAAAATACAACAAAAAAAAAAAAAAGAATAGAGAAGAAAAAGGCTATTGAATTTTCACAGATTTTAAATATGAACATGAAGAATTCGATAAGATGAGCATTTTTTTTTTCATGACGAACTTGATACTTTAATAAATATCATAAGGGAAACATTTCTTCGTTTTTTTTTTGCTTTTAAGATTTGTTGAACTTATCTTTGGATAGTTTGTGGTGTTATCTTAGTGAAGCTTTATATCAGAAAGACAAGTGTTCATTCTCATTTGTTCTATTTCAAACTAAAACAAAATGATGAGATTGGTATAAAAATCTCGGAAAAAAAACGAGCATGTAAATATTATCGTTTGGCACGAAAAACATTGATCAACAAATGTAAGTTGTTCTAATAGTTCATTGTTGTTAATTATTGAGATATTCTTATTACTTGTTCATGTTATTATTGAATACATTTAATAAACTTATCCATAATCGATCCTTTCGCTTCCGGCGACGTGTGTCAATACGTCTGAACGCCCATTATTGGACAAAGCTGTCACTATAGCATATTTTGTAATTATTTGAAAAGATTTTTATCGTTTTTACAATGGCTGCAATGTATTTCTATGCATTATTAAATGATTTAACGATTATCATACAAAAATTAACTACTAATATCTTTTTTTGATACAAATTTGTAGTTTCTTTCAAAAAATCAATAAAAGTCACATTGAAACTTTTTTTTAAGAAGAGTTTCAATTTTTACAGAAAAAAAAGCCGGTAATCGAAGGGTTAACACAAAAATTTATAATTAAAATAATTAATAATTCTCAAAAGCCTTATTTATAATAGTCAAAGATAATAGTAGTTTGAACACTTAACTATATTATATGAAACATATATTGCTTTTAAATAATAAAATTTTATTTTATTTATGATTATCATTACAGTTGATATAGGTTCCTGTACATCACTAATAAAATATTTATGATTTTGCTTTCTCATTAAATCAATACAATGAAAAATTCTTGTTAGTATTAAAAGATAGAGTCGAGCATCGAACGAGCAAATCGATGAGTCTTATTTGACATTGATCTACTATCTTATTTGAATCATACAAATAAATAGTCCCAAGTCATTGAAACTACGATAAATTTGATGATTAATCCTGATCTATCGAAATGATAATCATGAATTGAAATGCTATAAATCGCCGATTTTCTCCAATGACTAATGCGATACACAATTGTTCATAGTTGAATGAAGACACAATCGATAAAGAAATAAAAAATATTAAAAACATTCATTTGTACAAATTCATGCTTTGAATCGAGCTTTTCTCTGAAATCACTCTACACAAAAAAAATAGTAAATAAAAAGCAGAACTCAAAAGAATAATGATAGAAGATGTCTTGTTAAAGAATAAAGACAAGTTTTCAACTTTACATCAATCTAGTTAAGAGTGAAAGATGTATCTAAAGCTGAATTTACAATAGAAAAAAAGTCTAATGAAAAAATTAGTTACTCGAAAAATATATTTGAAATGATCTATACATTTAAAAACATCGTTTGAAATGAATGAAGATGAATGTAAAGTTGAGTTGAAAATTTGTAGAAATAATATTTGTCTTTCAATTTAAGAAACCTTCGAAAATTTCTCTAATTAATACTCAATTCGTAATCAGTTGCTGAAATCAGTTATTAAATACGATTTATTGCTTTGCTTTGAAAAAATCGTTTCATTTACAATAATCTTGATAAAATTTGATTTAATCACTGTTTTTTTTTATGAAATGCGATTAATCACGATTTTACGCCGGTTTTTTGAAAATCGTTAAATTTAATACAAATTTCATACTATAGGTAACTATTTCAGCTTATTTCAGAAGATCCATGACCAATGTAGGTAATCTTCTCAGATACAGTGTTTTGTCAGAATCATAAAACAAGCAATACATTTGTTGTTATACGTAACAAATGTTGATTTCAGGATGAAAACCTTGTGATCAAAGGTAAATATAAATTAATGATAATATGATATCATAGTACGACTAACTCGCTCCTATTTTATTCAAAGAATCAATGAAAGAGTACAACAGAAATAAACACAAGGCCAATGCGGCATTAAAAAAAAAGAAGAGAGAGAGATAATTAATTTATACATACATATGTATCTGTGTGGTAAATGTCCCTGAACATGGCTTTAAAGAATGGTGACGGATAGAACCCGTCAACATACATTTTCTTTTTTTTTTTTTTATAATGACTACGTCATCACGTCGAAGGCCATTGATAGGTTCTCTTCTCTTTCTCTTCTTCATGCATTTATAAATAGTCGCATCTGAATGTTAAATAGAGAATATATTAGGAGCAAAAGAAAAGTGAAAGAAAAGGTTTAATTACATTTGTAAAAAATATATCATGTATTCATCATTAATGATCATGGAGAGTCCTCTGATCATTACACCAGAAGGACAAAGTCCTTGGCAGCCATTATCTCTAGTCGTAGCTGTGGGACTCAGCAGTAGTCTAGTGATAGTTGGGATGGCACTGGGTTTAGGCTTGGGTATCGGAGTGAATGACAGCAACCAAAAATTAATATTCGTTACAGCCACAAGCTCAATAACAGGGTCTACTTCTAACATCATATCCATCAATAATGGAAATTCGACAATAGCCACAATAACAGCGACAAGAACAGCAATAACAGCAACAACAGCAACAACATCAACAACATCATCAACAACAACGACAATAACAACAACAGGTTAGTTGTCTGATCACTATTGGTTTCTTGTGTGTGAGACTCTAAATCAAGTTCTATTTTAATCAGATTTATTCAAGAACATTTCACGATTTATTATATTAATCTGACTGTATAGGATTGCAAGGAAGAATAACAAACCAAATACAAAATTTTTGCTATTCTTGTTTCATAATTTTTAGCGCAAGTATCCGTCAATTTCTACCGATCTTCTTTATTTCTATCGTTTTTTCGTAAAACTATTTTAATCAGCACACGACGGTCTCAATAGGGTATAGCTAGTCATCAGTTACACGAACATTTTACTGTTTTCTAGCTTATGTCACTTACTTTGCCTTGCTAGTATGCAATCAATCAATTCCAATACTCCATCTATGCACACAACAATATGGACAATACTTTGCTTGAGTTGTTTTTTAATTAAAGAGAATCATAGTACCTGTGATTATACAGTTTGTTTTTGATCATAAGACGACAGGATCTTCTGTATTTCGCTACATATTTCGCCAAACATCTAATGAAAAACGATCGAAACAACCTCATATGAGTATGGACATTTTGTGAAGTACGATTCCTAGACGAGCTCAAACAACTACAAAGAAAAGGTGTGCCTTCCAGCCACAATTCTCGAACGGTTATAACTAAGGATGATCATTTATTCTTATTTTATGTTTAAGTTTAAAATTAGAAAAATCTTGAAAGCACTAGTGACGGATGCTCATTCTTTTATGATAATTATCTAACACTAATCGGTGTGAATTCTATTAAATTCATTTTGGACCTAGAGTGCAAGAGAAAACTACTAGGCCTACTAAGTTGATATTCCATTAATCAATCGATATTTGTTGTAGCTTTTAGTACGGCAGTATCATAGCTTTGTTAAAATCATATCTTGAGCATTGTTAAACATTCATTTTTGCATGAAATGTCATTTGAAAGCTAGATAGTAGAACCAACTCAAGTAAAAGATTGGTAAGAAATTCACCTGAATTGACACAGCTTTGATCTTCGTATCGAAAGTTTTCACCAAAACGTAAGCAGTAGTTAGCAGTTTGATGCTAATGGCTGAAGTTGGCTCCGATCGATTTTGTCGAAAATTTCATATGAGTGCTAGTATTTTTTAGAGGCATAGCTCATTGAGAGTCAAGAAAGAATCGACAGAGACATTTACTAAGATACAGCTTGGTGATTAATATGAAATCTAAAATTGGGAATTTGAAAATATACTAGGTGCTTTGTTAGATTTTCCATACAGGGCATACAGTGTGAATACTTTTTATAATAGTAAAGATGTGAGTGATAAGATTTTATGATATGACAAATGAAAATTCTTGAAAAAAATATCGATTTTGAATATCAACTTCCTAAGGAATCATGAATAATAGTAGTAATTATTTAATTTTTTCTAAAGAAAAGAATATGAGCTTTCATATCGGATAATTCATCTTTCTTGCTCGGATGACACAAAAATGTGCACTGATCAGTACTGATAAAAGTCTTGCCAATATCTCGTTTTCCTATTGGCTGACACTCACTCATTCAACATTCGCAAATTTTCCTTTAGTCTTGTGTTATTTTCTTGCGGATCAGCTTCATAGATGAATGTCTATACATTGATTGATAATATTCTTTATAATTCGAGTGAAGATGAAAGCTTGATTGTAATACCACTCTTGTGGTTTTAATGTATTTAAGTTTAACAAAAAGCAAATACTTCAAAAATGAATTGTTGTTTACACTAGTTGAATATACCGATTTCATATCCTTTTAATTGTGCTGTGCATTCATTTAATATTGTACTATTTCAGTGGCAGTCTGTACGAATGTTTTTGGGGCATCGACAACTTTTTCAACGGGATTCTTTCCATTCTCTATCACAGCAGGCGATTTTAACAGAGATGCACGATTAGATTTGGCTGTCGCCAATTTCGGTAGTAACAATACCGGCGTGTTTCTTGGTCTAGGTGATGGTACCTTTCAAAGTCAGGTTACTTTTGCAGCTGGCGCAAGACCAGACTCTATAATAACCAATGATTTCAACAATGATATCATACTGGATCTTGTAACGGTAAATTTCAATAGTAGTACCTTCAGTGTCTTACTTGGTAATGGTGATGGGCTATTTCAAACGGCGAAAACTAATAATACAGGTGCAAATCCGACTTCTGTGACATCGGGTGATTTTAATGGTGATAACCTACAAGATCTAGCTATTGCTAATGGTGGTAGTAATACCCTCAGCATTCTCATTGGCAAAGGTGATGGCACCTTTGTGAATCAAGTGACGTATGCGACAAGTTCAAATCCGTACTTCGTCATATCTAGTTATTTCAACACTGATTCTATACTCGATCTTGCTGTTGCGAATTACTTAAGTGACAATGTTGGGGTGTACCTTGGTATTGGTGATGGAAATTTTGTCTTTCAGACAACATATTCAACAGGCACAGGACCGACTTGTGTAGAATCGGATGATTTTAACAATGATGGAATACTAGATTTAGTCGTAGTTAACAATTTAGCTGAGAGTGTAAGTATACTACTTGGTTATGGTAACGGAAGCTTTCTGAGTCAGACAAAATTTACGACAGGACTAGGTCCATTAGAAGTCCGAGCGGATGATCTCAACAATGATGCCAATGTAGATCTCGTTATAACTAACTCTGTTAGTAATACTATCAGTATACTTCTTGGAAATGGTAATGGCACGTTCCAGACTCAGAGGACATATAAAGTAGGCACCAGTCCAAGGTCTCTGGTGCTGGGCGATTTCAATAACGATACAAGAGTGGATCTTGCTGTGGCTAATTTTGTTGATAATACAACTACCATTTTTTTGAACATATGCACGTAATTGATTATTTAACATGTCTTTGCACAAAGTGTTAACTGCGAAAGGATATTGCAGTGTAGTTGTTTTCAGAAATTATATCGCATATCGGCTTTTATTACAATTTGGTGATTAACAACGAAAAACATTTCGCTTATTTAGTAGGTATGCGACGTCAAGTTCAATTTTATTCGATTATAGCTACTCTTATTTTTAATTCTATATGATATTTTTTTATTAACCTTCCTCTTGTTATGTAAAATAAAAAAAAATGAAATTTCTCCTATAAGATAACTTCACTAGAGAGGAATTTCAAGCTTTTATTCTTATAAGAGAACTTCACAAATTCCATTCAAAGCTATCAAGTTTGACCGAATGTTTGAAAACCTCTGTGTTTTACGCAATATCAATAAGAAAGCATCAAAGGTTGGAAATGTTGATATCTCAGAAAGACAATATCCGAAAATTCAGAAATTTTGTATTCAAAATAGTTTAAATGAAGTTTTTGCATGAGCACAGTTTCAAGTCGAAATTCAAAAATAAGATTTCATCGAAAAATGAAGTTCTACCAACTTGAAACAGTGAGCTTTTGTTTCAACAGATCTCTAAAGACTACAAAGAGTTTTACAGATCATTTTTATTTTGTTTCAAGTTGTTTTGGATTGAAATCTATTTGAATTTTATTTTTTTTCCAATAGAAAGCGTTATAAGAGAGAATTCTATATCGTTATATTTTTTTAAATCATGAAATACTAAATTTTTCTATATTACTCAAAATTAATAACATTGAATAGAAATTGTTTACTTGCTTTTTTAAGAATAAAAGGATAGCATGCTTCTCTATTAACAGACAACAGCTCAATGCATTTGATTAAAACATGATGGATAGTATTCAAATCTATTTTAATCTGTGAATAAAAGTATTGCCAACAGAATCTCATATAGTTGCACGAACTTCAATAAAACTTCATTGATTCCTAGTTGATTTTTAACATAGGAGAAAACAATGGACTTTGTAACTTTAGTTTTAATTGAAGCTCATTAAAGCTCTAGGCCTTTTCATCGAAGCACGATATTACTGTTGTGTCATAAAATTACTGTAACTTTATAAAATCTAGTTAAATAGAAACTAAAACATTAGAGTTCACTTGTATGTCATGAAACATGATTCAGTTGGACTACACAACGTTCGATACTATTTTATAGGGCTTCGGAACGTAGAAATTTTATGGAGTACAACACAATCCAATGGAGTGTATCATTTCAACTTTGAATTTTTTCAGACCATGATTATTTTTCATCTTTGCATGGAGTCAATGAATATGTTTACAATCACAATCCTGATTGTTACTTCGACTAACTTTTTGATGATTGAATGTCGATGTGGGGAGAAGTCATGCGACTTCATACTATGGCCTTCAATTATGTTTCTGTCAAATACTCCTTTCTAGCATTCATTGTTCATTGTGATGCTAAATAAAATTCTCACACTTAGCACCAACTTAAAATGATATGATATTATTCTAATTGAAATTTTATTCAATAAGGAATAAGCCATGGATAAATAATGAAGCATAAAATATTGAATGAATTCTCTAAATAAAACTAGTGTTTCAAAATGATCAGATTCGTACATGGACTCATGTTGTGACAGGTATAATATTATTTCGACGTTTTCTCATATAATAGATTTGCACTTGCCGACCGAGTTTGACAAGACGTGGTGACCACCAACATAATACAACTGTTAATCCACCGTACAAGCCAAGTAATGTAGTTGCTACATAGAATGGATTAGCACGTTCCGTATATGAATAGAAACAATTGGTTGGTGTACATTCAGTAAAATAACGATCGTAGTGTGCTTTCATAGACCAATCTTCGATGAACAGTTCACTAGCAATATTATTAATTGTTGTATTTGGATTGTAGTTTGAATTAAATACATTACTATCATTGAGAGGTAATGCAAGTGTTCGATTTTTCTGAAAAATTATCAATATCATTTAATCTAATGTAAGAAAAATTAAAAACTTACATTTCCAAACATATGATTTCGAATAAGATCAATACAATTACTATCATAAAAACATTCAAATGTTGATGCTAATAATGACTCACTAGGTAAACAACCAATATGAAGACCTTTTATTTCGACATGAGTTGGTGAAGTAAACATTGCTGGATTTAAACATTTTGATCCTTGTGCACATAAACAATTTGTCGTTTCATTATATATCTTTGACTGTATCAACAATGTTGATACAACAGCAGGTGGATTTCTTCGAGTCACAAATTCAAAGTTGCTACCATAGACCGACATCAATCCATTACCATGATTAATGTCACGTGCTAATTGAAATGCACGAACAAATATTGTAGGTGCATTGGTTCGAGCCCGGCTTAACAAGTTTTCTAAACGTGTATAAAATGTTGTTTGAGATAAAAGTTGACCCGTAACCAATGACGTTGACATAAATGAACGAACAGCATCATTCACTTGTACGATTGACTGTTGACATAAACCAGAAACGAATTGCAGATGAGCTGATATAAAAGCACGATAGTCTTCTATTTGCACATAGTAAGACATATTACTGAGATCGGCTGTGAGTTCATTACGCCATTCATCAGTCACAAATACACTTGAACATATCTAAATCACAATAAAAAAAATAGGAATTGGGCATCAGAAATTAGATGAGTTGAAATCACAAAATAGTTATCGATATTTTGCATCTGTAGTCTATTTTTAAACAGGCGGCTGCACGATACGATAGTATTTGAAATATGCACAATGTTAATTGAAGAAATTTTGAGAAACATATTTTCCAATATAACATGATTTGATACTTTTTCATAGTAATACATTTTTAATCAGATGGACTTAAAATTTCGAATAAAAAGAAATTGTTTTTTTTATAATGTCAGAAAATGTTAAACAAGCGTTCATTTCAATAGTTACAAAACATGTAAATATATATCTTCTTCTTCTTCTTCTTCTTTAAAACCATAGGCTCTTATCCTTGATTCACAATATTGGAAATAAATAAATCAAAAAGATTGTTTTTCTTTTTTTCGGAGAAACTTGTGCTTCTCTCAAGTTGAAAAAGTTGCACAACAGTTTATCCATACTTTGAACTCTTAGATTTTTGTTACGTTCGGTAAACATTTTTGATTCAAAATTTTTATAAATGTTTTGTATTAGTCACTGTTCTGTATAATAAGAAAAAGAGAAAGCCTATTCAATATTGTGTAGGACAGCACTTAATAACAAAAACAAAAGTAATACAGAACATTTGCATTAGTCGTTATTTTCAATATTTTTTACTACGTCATTTGCAATAGTTGAAATAGAAAGTGATATTTCTCATCATTTTGCTTCGAACTATTCTTTATAACTTGTGTCCAAATCTTTGAACTTGTGAATTTTTGTTAACTCATAACATCATTATTATTCAAAATGAGATTTAGTTTTTGGTAGTCTATCGATTTCTCTTAAAAGAATGCCGATTTTTTTCGATACTCGTAAATTTTCGCCGAGTTGATCATATCATCTTCAGCTGTACTTATCTTTAATCAAGGACAAACAAAAAAAGTACAAAATTGATTTCTTTTTCAAACAAACAGCAACTCGAATTTTTTAGAGACAAATTGAAAATACTATTCAAGTGTTAGTTAACTAGCGTGATGCAATAGAGTAAAGGCATTCTAGTAACATAATATCTAAATTAAAATAATTTTAGGACATGTTACTAAACAGATGCTAGAAATATATTCAAGCAAGAGTATTATTAGAAAGAATCAAACGTTCTAAAAGTTTCAACAATGACAAATCAGAGACTATAATCTAAAGCATAACTCTAACTTTCACTTCTTAATGAATGAATATCAATACTATCTTTTATAATAGATATTCGAACTTACTTGATGAAAGGTTGGTTGAATGGTGATAAATCGATCAAGTGGTATGGAAATCTTTGCACATGGACATTGAGCTGTGTCACTATAATCGGTTTGTATTTGTTGGGCTTTAAGCATCGATGGATACAATATGTTTTTTGTAACAACTCTTTGTTGAATTGATGTGTACATGAGCAATATAATTAGAGCCATAACAAGAAGAATAGCATAGAATCTACTTGCAAGTCGATTCAAACTATCAGCCGTAACTCGATCAACATTACTACCAAAAGAGTATAGAGGAAAAAAAGTTAAATTAGTAATCTTTATTCGAACGTAACCAAATAGAGCTCGGACATAGGTACCAAGACGAATAATAAATGATTTGCGTTCTAATTTGTAAGAACAATGTTTATTATGCTATATAATAATAGAAAAGAAAAGTAAGACTCACCGATACTTGTGTCTAAAGGGACTGTCTGTTGTTGTCGTCGCCTGACAAAAAACTGGGCTATGATTGGAGCCAAAAAGCGTAGACAAACTATCAATCCACCAAATATAGCAAGCAAAGTTGTTAATATATATATAAGATTAATACGTTTTGTGTATGTATAACTGCATGTAATCGGTGCACAGGTCTGAAAATAAGTTGTATAAAAAATTGATGATATCCATTGTTCTATGAATATACTGTTTGCTATTGTTGCTACCGTATCATTACTAGAAAATCGAAGTAAATTGGTGCTATTAAAAGATCGAATCGAATTTATGGTAGCACTCTTATTCAAAAAATTGAATATAAAATCTGTGAAACAATTTGTGTCTGAGAATAAACATTGTAATGTCGATTGAAGAATAGAATCAATTGCTGAACATCGCCATACAAAACCTGGTATGATTTTTGTACCATTCTGATATGTTACCATTGGCCATTGACAATCTGGACGAAATGCACATAGGCAGGGTTCATCAAGCTGTGACGGTGGTGATGGACCATTGAACTTAAATTTACTCTAAGAGAAAAAGACTTTGTAAATTAATCTTGATAATTATATTGGCATATAAGTAAAACTTTAAAGTGAGTCACTTCTGTAAAATAATAATATCGAGTTTTATTTTAAATAGGAAAGATGTTCTTAGCACTAACGATATGCAGCAGAAGCTATATGAACAAGTCGGTCTGATTGTAGTATTCTTACAAACGATTATGTGAGGTAGAAGTTCTCTTTAGTTTCTGGTTCCATTACTCTATTTTCAATTAGAATAAAATAATTGAGTCAATCATCGATTCACAAAATTACGCTCGAATAGGAAGCGTCAGCGAAAGGAATTCAGATTTTAGATTTTTCGATCTATATGATCGTATCTGAAGATAGCATTAATGGAAAAAAAAAATTAAAGAGAACAATAATAAACAAGGCAGAAATAACGAATCATTTTTGTGAACTTATTCGATCGAGATTCATTTTTGTACAAAGTTTTTGAATAAATTTTTCAAATGCAAACTTTAAAGAGTAATATCTACTCAATAGTATATCAGCAAATTACTAGTCTTTTTCCATAGCAATCTTAAATGTGTACTCATCAAGATGGATGATCAAACTAAAATATTTAACATCAATAGATAGTCAATTTTGTGTTCTATATTTTCACAAAGTTGTCAAATTGCTCGGCGTTCTTATCTTTAAACGTGAACAAAGTGTTGTGTAGTTTCATATGAACAATTAACACGCTTTGGTGGTTTCGAATTATAAAAGAACAGTGCCATAGGTGTATTCGGAAAGAATTTATTTTCACATTTGCTATTCTAAAACATTGCTTCAGAAATATTTTTTTTTCTTAGAATTTGAAAAATTACATTGAAAGAAGTCGAATAATGTTTTCTGTGATCTTTGCATATGAGTCGTTTAAATTTCATACGAACGAAAAAGACGACTTTGAAAAATAAATTTTCCATCTAATGAATTCACAACAACATTTTGAATCAACTTTCAAGTGTCACAAAAAAAAGTATTCTATTATATCTATCTCACTCATTACTATTTTGTTTTGTAAACATTGTGATCTTATTTGATTCTTGTTTCTTGGTTCATGTTCAATTATTATTATTATAAATAGGCATCCTTGAAATTTGAAAAGCCCAATATTCAAAGATAAGGGTGTGAGATGTGAATGTAAGTGAACAGAATATTGATACCTACACCCGCATTAGAGTAATAAAAAAATCGAAAGATTATCAATAATTGTAAATTGAAAGAGAACTATTTTCAAATTATCTCAAAATTTTAAATCATCTAATAAATAGAATAAAATTAGCATCTTATTTTACCTCAATATGTCCATCGTTTGTTAGATTTGATATACGAAGATAACCATTGGTGATTGAACCCGAAAAATATTGATCAACTTGATTTAATAGATTTATAATGTTGAGAGCACGTTCGAATTCAGTTTTTGTATTATAAATAAACTCATTCACTGTGCTATCAAACTCTTCCTGTAATAAAGCATTTGTGAGTAAACGACTGCTAACAAAACTACGATCACCAAATCGACGTAATGCATCATTTACAGTACTATTAGCTAGTTGACATAGTGCAGCTAAAGCTTGAAAATAGCCAAGTGCTGCGATGCGCCAATCATTGATTGGTAATGCTTGAGAGTTAGGATCTTCGTATTGCAATTGAGTGAACCAAAAATCAGTAACAAACACACTTGAACATATTGGATGAAATAAAGGATGAAGAGAGACGAATGATGAGTAGCTTTGTGTAATTTCTGAGCAGAGACAATTGAGAGTATCCGGATATTCACTTTGAAGACGTTCATAAGTGGTATAAGATGGTTGATGATATGTTACACTATTCGTTTGTTTACTTATTGAAGTAAATAGTAAAAGAACTAGTAAAGATCCTATAAAATTGTAGAAAATATTTGAATGTCTTTTAAATAATCAAATGCATAAATAACTATATACATACCAGTTAATAATATAACAAATAAACGTGTTGCAATTCGTTGTCGCTGCATAGCTTCGACTGATCGATCCATTGATTTAAATAAGTTAAACTTGATCATGTTTTGCTTCATACTACCAACGAATAGTAACATTTGGTCAATTTTTCGTCCTAAACAGAATTATAATCAATAAGAAAATAGAGAAAATATTTCAATCATGAAAATTTAGATTTCTGAATAAGAGAACAGTGAGTCATTTTTTATATAAAAAATTCATTTTATCAAACTTATTGCTTTTATTCATTTTAACAAGTATTTTTAACAAAATATGATTGATAAATCATCAGAGTCTCTACGGTATCACAAATGTATATTCACCGTTACCTTAGTAGACTAAGACATATTCCACAGAAGAGTATTATGCTGCTATTGAAAATTGATTGGTACAAATATGAAGACTAAATGCTTCAAATATATATCAGTTCAACCGAACATATCGATCTGCAATATCTTTCTCTCCCTCTCTCTCTGAACAATTAACTCATATCACTAATCTTATAATTCAAAGCAACTAAAAAATCAACAATTCAGAAATGAATATAGGCAAAAAATAAATGCATAAATTCGATGCACATACTATTTGAAATATGGTCTGATCAATGTGTACTTCTTTATTAACGTGTATTAATGCTATCAAGTAATTTGATAGTCATTCGAAAAAGATAATAATTTATCAAGTGAATTTGATAGTTGTGCTCTTGTTAAAACTCTTTTTTAATAATCGAAGAAAGAATACAGACTCATGGTTTTATTATTGTACAATAAAATTTGAAGCATAACGTGTCAGGGTGTGAAAACGATATTTTAAACACACTTAATCTTTAATAATTGCTACAACTTTAATATTCAGATAGGATAAAAATGTTTTTTTTTCTAACGTAACACTATTATGTTAATGTACATGATTAAAACATTACATTTGATCAAAATCAAAAATAGAACTTTTCACAAAGGCTATTAGAACATTCAGAAAAACTTCTATGCATCGATTATCAATACTTACACTAAACTTTTTCATGATTTAGTACATTATATACTATTTTATGTTTTATTAGAAATAGCTTTTGAATTTTTTGAACAAATGCATTTTCTAGAGGGGACATTTTCCTATAAACTAAAACATTTTCAGTTCTGTGCAACCTTTAATAATTAGAGTACAGAAGTTTTCCTGAATGCTTTATCACTAGTCTTTGACAGCTGCATTCAATCATATCATTACACTCACCACGTAAAGTTACATTAGGTGTTGCAACTGAAGGATTGCGTCGCTTCCGTTTCATGAAATGTTTCACAACCACTGGAATTATAAAACGTAGAGAAGTCTGAAGACCACCGTAGAGACCAAGTAGAACTGTAATCATGTAGATTAGATCAGCTCGTTTTCTATACGAATAACTGCAAGTTTTCGGAGCACATTGAGCAAAATATTGATCGTATTCAACAGTAGTTTTCCATTCTTCGAGAAAAACTTGCTCTAATAAATCGCTTACGCTTGTATTGAGAGCATATTTACTCGGTAGAGACGCATTTAAAATGTCAATTGTTGAAATTACCTTAAAAGCATAGAAATTTAACATAAGATTTCATATTTTTTCATAAAAACTCAAGACAAAAATAGATTTAGTGCAATCCAGAACGTGTTGAGTATAAAATTGAATAGAAATTTTAGTAAAAACAACACTCAAAATTTTCTAATAGAAATCTTCTACATATAAATAGATAACCTCATGATTTTGATCATCAAAATTTTCTATATTATAATTGTATTTGTTTCAAAATTAAAAAAATGCAATAAAATAAATAAGAGAATATTTTAATTCCAAAAAATATTCAAAGTTAATTCATCAAAGAGTCAAAACAAAAGAAAACAATTCTACGAGCAGATAGTAATTGAAGAAAATGCGCAATTATATGAATGAAACAAAACTGTATTCTATTTCCATTTATTGAAATATATTTTGTTGTTTATGTTAGATCAATCTAATAAAGTGTATGAAATTTCATTGAATATATTTTTCTCGTTAAACATTTTAAAATAAGTATTCAAGCTTTGAAGTGTTTCTACGATATTATCGGTGTTTCTTAACATATGGTTGTTATAAAAAGAAGTACAAAACTGCTAACATGCATGTTGAAAATAGAACTTATTCTCATTGTTTACTAATGCTATGAAGATCAATTAAGTTTAGAAAAATAGATCCAATGTCTAACTAAATGTCCATTCTATCGTTGCGTATTTTTTTCATTGAATATTCATTCTTAAAAAAAATAGGTCGATGCTTATGTCAACAATTATAATTAATAATTCTTCTAAAGATACCTATCGTAAGAAAAGTCATATAAGAAAATAATGAAAATATTGACATTCAAAAGAATTTGAAATACTTTCGATGAAAATATGCGTTTTGATTCTGAAAAAAGGCAATAATTATTGATGAGAATATTTAGTGATAAAGCTCTCGATTAAACTTAAAAGAAATGATATATTTTATTTTATTTACTTGAGCAAGTTGTGGAAAGTAGTTGATTAATTTTGCAATACATGTTGCATTGTAGAGACAGATAAATGTTGTTTGAAGTAACGATTCAAGAGGTGTGCAAGATCCTACAAAGCCTGGTACAATATCCGTAACATTATACTGTTGCGGTCTAACGAACCAACGAGGATATGGATTTTCATTGTCAGCTAATTGATAGAAACCTGCTGGATAACTGCATGTGTATTGATTACAATCACATCGTATAGTTTGGTTATTGACAGGCAAGTACCAAATTGTATTGCCTACCAACCAAAGCGGTAATTGACCTTCCATATAACTATAGAGTGCAAACACATAATTTGTATTCATAGCTGAAATAAGTTGATTGCCACGTGTTGTTAGTTCGATCAGTTTGAGCGCATTATTTATACGTGATAATGCATCAGATTGAGCTTGTTGACCGCGAACTTTTGCTTGAATTTCAATTTGGGTTTCTAGTAGTACACGAGTGGTGACCAATTGTGTGTTGTTCAAATCGGATAACACGTCAAGAAGTGTGGTATGTACTAGTGTACATAATGTCTTAAGTAGTTCAAACTACATATATGAAAGAAAATATACATATTGCATTGTTATAAAATTTAATATACCTGTGAACTGGCCAGTGTTCGAAAATCGAGCTGACCATAATAACTTGCATCGGGCATATAAAGTGCTGTTATCCATTCTAGACTAATAAAAGAACTAGAACAAATTTGATGCAAAACTATTTCAACGGTCATGAACTCTTTGTAGGGTATTGTTATAGTTGAACAAGGACAAATAAGAGTTTCTGGATATTGAGCTTGTAGTTTTCGAAATTTATCGAGCGAGGGTTCATTCACTGAAACTGTTTTTGTTTGTTGAATTAATAATGTGAATAACACCAAGGTAAGCAAACAACCTGAAATAAAAATAATAAAGTGTAAACATACTCTTTGTTATAATGTAGCTCACAATTTAGCAGAATAATATAAAGCCTTGTAGAAATTAATTGTTCTTGTAATCTATGCTGACTGTCATTAGAATTTGCATTTTGAGAATCATTTTTATCATCTTGATCATAATCATTGTCATCAGTTGGGAAAACGTTCCAATTGATTAGACGTTGATAAAATCTATTGAACAGGTTCATTTTACTTTAACTAATCGTTGACTTGTTACCTTTTCTATTCTCTAGATATACAAAAAAATGTAGCATATAACATCATATCATTCATCAAATTGCACAGAGACACAACACAATAAATTATTAAATAATATTTCATAAGTACTCTAATATATATTTCTCAATTTTTGAAAGTAAAGTCATAGATATTCCATCTAACATATGCTGCTAGCTGGTTACCACGTCAATAAACTTCAAAAACAACTTTAATGCAAATGAATTACTTACATTGTGAGATAGCTAAAACTAAAGAGAACGAACATAAAAAAGTCTAAGTAAAAGCGCAAGATAAAAAGCTCATATTGCAATGGTACTCTTGTTTGTTAAGTAATGTAGAAATAATGAGTAATATTTTTCCAATTCAAATCTTTCCTTGTAGATTTTCATCCTTTCTTTTTCAAATTTATAACAAACGATGGATTTTAAAAATCTCTATAAGCACATCTTAGTAAGTTTGCAATTGATTTTTCTATTTGAAAGACAAGCACGATCAATAAATAAAAAATACTATCTATACTGATGGTGCACAAGTACGTTTTTTCTTTATGCATCTTTATAATTACATCAATTTTCAACGTGTGTTGAATTACATAATGCAGTTTAACAATGAAGAATTTGCGTGTAAAGCACCACTTTGGGGAATAACGTGTAAACTAACCATAAAATTCGTCGAAAATCAGAAATTCTTGCTTAATAGAAATATATTTGTATGAAAAAATCTACTCGTGTACATAGACCATTGGCTTTAAAAAATCACACACAACAACATCGCTGCCAGTAGTTGTGATTATATGAGGGATAGAACTGAACAGTTCAGATCAGCTATAGCAGAAGCAATATCAGGTGACCGAAGAATGTTGTTTTGTGTCATATCCTAGTCGATCGTTTATGCGTCTTGCCATAGTGAATTACAGATAATTAAAATTTCAATATAAAAACGTTTTCCATTGGGAGAAATCATTAGCGAATGCTCATGACACAGTTTTTTTCTTTATAGAAAACATGAATTGAATTGATTTACTTTAAATCGTGAAAAAATGACACTACATACTGACAAAGAAAGATGCATATAAGAAGTAATTTTATTTTTGTTTTAGCATCATTTACAAACTCTCTACATACATTCGAATCAGTAAGTATCTGAATATTATTTATTAATAGAGCAATGTTGACAACAGGTACTCTAACTATTTCCACGGTTGTTCATCAATGGTATTGAAAGGCAAAAAATTAACTCCATTTAATACACGCAAGTAACGATGACTTGTAGTAACATTCCATCGAAGATATATCGCAGTTCCTTCCAATACAGACAATCCATATGAAAGTATAAGAAAACAAGCTGAGAAAAATCGGTTTGACTTTTTCGTTGATAAGCTTTTGTAAGTATATATCATATTTGGAAAAAAAACGAAAACATGTTGAGCATGGTTGAACAACTTTTTATAACGGAAATTACTGTCATACAACTTCTTGTTTAGTTATTGCTGTATCACACGAATTGCATGCAATAGACATAATTGAAAATGT